CCCTGAGTAGGAAAAAGCTAACATCGTCGACGACAGAAGCAACGTGCACAAAAGATATTTCGAGAAAATGGAGTGCATCAGCGAGCAGTCACAGACAGGGTATCCGACAGCCCTCAAGACAGCTGACATCGAGCTAACATTTCGAATGTCAAATAGAAGTCTATTCGCGCACACATTTCCAGAATACCTCACGGGAATAGGTGATGGTAGGGAAGTTTTGGTTTGAGAACTCCATTTTACCTGTCGTGGGAGTTTCGATGCCGTTCCCTTGAAAATCCGGCGTCCTCCATCCGGTGAAATAGCCTGTGAATGCAAAATACGTTGAGCGCAATAATTGATGCAATTTGTAACAATCAATTGACAGTTTTCGCAAATTGTCAGACACGTAAATCGCGATGGAGATACGTACCGCTTCTGTAAGATTCGGGAGCCCTGCCAACCGGGGTGTAGGCTGGTGGAACATAGCGACTGTACTGTCCATCGAAATAGTTTCTCTCCTTGGAAGGATTCGTTTGCTGGTAATGCACGCAAGACATCACGGGAAGCGAGTATCTCGTGTGAAAATGCGATTTCCAAAGCTCTTGTTAGACTTCTCTGGCTGTCAATATCGTTGAAACCGTGATTCGCTGGAGTGTCTGAAAGCTATCTGATCGGCAGGTCCACTTCGGTCTGGACCACGAGAAACGTTTCTTGATCCTTTTGTCCTCGCATAATCCCGCGAGTAGTCCTTTGAAACAGAACGGAAAGGTAATACGAGCGATAGACGCTGTCCTATTACTCTGAAATTTTCTCTCACGGCCTAGTGTAATCGCACGTCGCCGGTCTTTTGTTCGATTTCACGTTCGATTTTTCCCGATTCAACGTAAACGCGTTACGTCGTTTGTACGTATACACGTGCCTGCCAGGTGTCACTTAACAATTTCCTGCAGCGCATAAGCGTGCAGATTAAACGTCGAAAAACGTGGGCAGAATTTTCCTGAAACTAACGACTTTTAAATATATTTCGTTTACTGCCGCTTTGATCTAGGTTGAAACAATTTGACTCTTTGTAGCCCTCGTCCTCTCATCTTTCAGAAACCACTTTGTCTCGTTACGACTTTTCTTACGCGATTTATCGTAGAGATGAAGGTATCTGGCGTATCAAAGTAACTAGTAGTTATTCTGATTAAATTGGAAAGTTGCAATCAATGAAAGCTCAGTAACGACTCTTTCGCGTTTGAGGGTCAGAAGTCACTAGGGCACCGGAAGACTTCGATGTCAAAGAGAGCGTGAAAACTTTGCAGAGAAGGACCATTCGCGTCAAAGCCAAGCTCGTCGTTTTTAGACGTTTAAGACCAAATCCGCGCTTCTCGAGGAACCCTATCGGAATTATCCCTTTTGAAGGCTCGGTCCCTTCGATTCTAGGATCCAGGCAGGCGGGTCTGCCGAAAAGTTAACGATCCATCGCGCGGAAGGTGGCTGCGAGAGGGGCGGAGGGCCCAGATTAAAATTAATTCCGGCGGTGGACTCGGTGCGAAATACCCCGCTCTGGAATAGGGTAAATAAGCGGCGATGAAAAGGCCGGAACGATCGTTCTTCAGCGGCATCTCCGACTTATCACGGCGCCGCCGCGCCGTTGAATTTTACAGCCGCTACAGCGTAGGCCGTAAAAAGGAAGTGGAGGAACGCGAAGAAATTTTATTTCGTTCGGTGGCAGGCGTCCCGTTCCTTCCTCGTGATTTGTCCGTGTGCGTGGCCCGGCCTCGTAAAGAATTTACGAGCTCGCGTCGCGAACGAAATTGCGTAAAACTGAAGACGAGAAGCGATCTGGCAGGAATTAGCACGCGTTGCAGGTGAGTTAATTGTCGCGATTGCGGAGCAGGCTGCGATAGCAGACGGAGACCAGATGTGTCACTTATGGCTAGTGACAGAAGCAAGAGTACCGCAACGTAACTATTCGAGTCTTTTTCTTTTACATTTTTCAGTTCCGTTCAGGCAAGAGAGCAACTAGCATGTGTCACACCAAAATTGTTCCTCTTAGTTGTTTTAGATAGTTACTTCACCTAGTGCCCGAGGTTCTAATCGTATTACCAAGGCTTGATGTGGCAGTCTAGTATGGAGCTGATTCTAAGGATCGTAACATCGGAAAAGTCGAGTCTAAGTCGAAGCAGGAGTGACCAATCAGTGAAAAATTAAGGATACGTATGAAAATCTATGTTCCGGAACATCGAACGAGTCTTTCCCAAAACTGTGTTTCTAAAAACTACGCGTAAGATATGTTAGATATATTTTGGTCGCACTATTCGCAATATTCGATGGAATCGATACCGGTACCATTCTCGACATATGATCCACTCGATACCGAAATACTCGCTGGAAAATATTGCCGTGTATTGAAATTTTATCGTAGGTGGAAGTAAGTTACGATTAACTCGAGTTTGAATAACAAAATATTTGTTTCAGAGTGAATTATGAAATGTTATCGGGTAACATGCTTGAGGTGGCGGAGGGTGCGATCCACACCTGACAGCGCATTTCATACGAGAGACGAAATTTTTTTTTCTCGACGATCATTTTATTTATTTCGGTCGCTTTTGTTATTTCGCGGATAATTAGTTTTCAACAAATAGCATCCGTGACGAATAATTTTCTACCAGACTCGATAATATTTATTCCCTCGTTATTTCCTTCGTGATAATCAATGAAAATTTTATGTTTATATTATACCAGTTTGTATCTATAAGATTATGGTAATTTATGGCAATTAATATAATTTTAGGCAATTAACGAATTTGGACGAAAGATTTTAGCAGGAGTAGTATACTATCGATCCAACGAGTATCGATACTTTGGATACCTGCGTTTCCGATATTTTGCAGTACAATATTTGATGCGGTATCGTAATTTGAATGCTGACATCGCAGGTACCGACCTGATACCTGTTCGATCACAAGCCGTGGACTTGATACAAGAGTCAAAGATTAGGTTTCGGAAGGTGCATAAGTATACTTTGTGCCTCGCGAGAAGTCTCGCAGAAGAAGCAAGGGTTAAAACGATCCAACTTTTGTTCCTGTACCGTCTCGCGAGACTTCTTGTGAGCCACGCACAGTACGTTACACGTTATCATGGACGAGTTTATTTGACAGTATGTACAAATTTCCAGCGGTGAAAATATGGTTGTCATAACAGGACGCAGTGACACGTTATATTTAACCCTTTCGCTACTACACTTTACGGGCTGTACGTATTTCTCGTACACGAATGAGAGAAGATATGGATGGGAACATTTGAGTATCTCGTATAAGTGCCTAATTATGGCAGAATGTGCGCAAGTACAGATGATTTATGGTATCGAAAACGTGTACAGATCTGCCAGTGATTATGGAAGCAGTTTAAGTCATATCCACGTATTTTATTTCGAAATCTTGGAAGCCTGGTGTTTGGAAAAAAGATGAGTGAAAAAATTAATTTTCACTGTGCAAAGGTAGTTTTAATTAACGCGTCGACAGGTTAATTAACGAGTTATCGAATCACCTGTTTTCTCTGGGGTTCCCTAACCATGGTGTGCAATTTTTAAGCGTAATTCGCACGATATTAAGATAGGAAAGACGGAAAAATTCGTTTCCTTCCGATTTCTTACTTAGGCCAGTTTTATACGACATGCGTTTAAAAATATGTATATATATATTTTTCTTTTCGTAACGAAAGGGTTAATTTCCTCCTTCTTCCTCTGTCTTATAAGGGTACGATAAATAATGAACAGACGAATTACGAATATAGTGTGATCTACCGTTGCCTTCACATAGACGTAGCCTTCATGCAAGTAGCTGCATTACAAAAGGACATCTCAGTTTCGAAACGCGACAGCCGAGTACGAAAATTTAAGTGACGAGGTTCGAAACGACTAAATTTTCCGTGCGGATCCATCTACGTCGTGGTTGCATTTCGGTGAACGGTTCAGGATTCGGAGGCTGGCCGTCATTCGGAGATACAAAGATGTATTTTCTGTACAGCCGTGTTGTACCATCCGAACGAGGAATCGTTGTAGCGGCTTCGATTTATCGCTCGCGTAGATCGCTAGCAAAATTGCCCACCCGCGGGCTGAACGTTTTCGCGTCGATCGCGAAAGGATGGAATACATGAATATATTACACATTTATGGTTACACGTGTGTATGTGTGTGTGTGGACTGCGCGCATATATGTATACGTGCGTGAGAGCAATACGCGTGTGTATGCGTGCATACACACGAAGCTGCCGTTCATTCGCTATGTATATATGTACATGTATACTTTGAGCGTATTATTTTCCACGTAGGTTGATCGATTGCCAGGTTAATATCCTATTCATCCTCTTGAAACTTTACGAATTTCGATGCCAACGGCTTCATTGGGCAGAATTAACCTGTTGAAGTGGATTCGCTTTGATTCGCAATGCAATTATCGTTTTGCATTTATTCTTCGTCGTTAACCACTCGAATTTAAATCTCCACTGTGAAATGGTACTCGAATTCAAGGTAAACTAGTCATACCTAGCATCCTCAAGAGGTTAATACTTAATAGAACAGCAGAGGTTTAGGAGCGGAGGATGAAGAAGACATTGGCCGTGCACGATCTCGCCTGAAATACTGATCACGTAAATGCTGCCATATAAAACTAATTTTATTCACACTTCTGCGTGGTCTCCTGAATTATGGCCCTAGAATTCGTCACGTAACGCATAGCCTGCGCTTTGTACTGTAATAACAATCGTTATCCAATGCCTTTCCCTATTCCCTCGGATTCCTGACGAACGAACGAAAGACGAAGAATCGAAGAAGAGACCCGTGGTTTCGAGGAAGGAGCAACATCTCAGGGATTCACGCCTGTGGGAAACGAACAGACGCGTGGTGGCATGAACATAATTTCAGAGACTCGACACGCGTGGTCTCGTCGAAACTCGAAGGGAGCCATTGGGCAGGAAAATCCTACGCGGATCCAAGCCGTCGTGTCCCCAGGGGTGCGGTTTCCATTGTTCGTTTCTTACACCAGAGACACCATCACCCGTTTCCTAGGGGTGGAGTGTAACATCGCAATGTGGCCGCTTCTTCGCGAGGACTGGGCCGTCAATGACGTCGTCACAGTCGTCCTGGTGCTGCTGTTTGGTGCACCGGTGCCGAAGCAATGGTGAGGATTGGTCGCGCACCATCCGGATACCCACGAGATCCGTATGTTCCTATAGGGCCAAAATCATTGCATTTGTACAGGCTGCAAAGAAACATGATTTTTCCCGACTACCACATGTCGATTTTACACCGATGCGAAAAGGTTGCTGTGAAATTTCATCTTCGCCAAAGTCCAATTATTATTATTATTATCTTTGATATTATTATCGTATCCTGTGATAATATTCGTGAGTCGTAAGGCAATCGTTAGCTTGAAATTACAGACTTCATGCTTACCCTTCGAAAAGGATGCAGCGATGGTAAACATAATCGTTACGTATGTTTTGTTAATATTGTTTGCGTGGTGAAACGAATGTAAACGATGACTTACATAGTGCTGACGGCACAATAATTCATTGGAAATTTCGGAAAGATGACATTCGTGATATCTACTATAGTGAAGTTCAGTACCTAAGAGGTTAAGTGTCTCCTGACCTGCAGACGATCTAGGTTTATGCTGTCCACTTAGCAGTGAAGGTTATGTCGCGAATATGTCCTGAAGGTTTATTGACCTTCCAGAGTGAAGGTCTAGAACTGTTAAGGATGAGTATACCATTCGTTTAGACTCGCGCTTCGATATTTAACAGGCGTCGCGACGACGCGAGGACGTCACCCTGACTACTCCAAAGAGCCTGCTGAGAGTAGTCCAGGTGATTTTTGGAATGTCCATGCAATTTTAACGACTCGTCGAAAACCTTAGTCCAACCTTTCACGAGTGATCTGTGTGATCCACGGACAGACGTGTATTAGCAAAGAAAATGCCTTCGACTAAAGCCTTCTTGCAATAATTTAATTTCGAAGATCTCAGCAAATTTCGCACATCGTTCTCCGCTAAATCGAGGAGAGATCGATCTATGGTGGTCAGGATAAATCGTTCTTTCGCACTCTGTACAGCTCGAAGCTCGATATCGGTTATCCCATCGCAGGAAACCCCAGGCTATACAGCGGAATGTTTTACACGGTTTTTTAAAACTTCAAGCATCCTAAGAACCGATGTTTCATTCGAATAGTTTCTCTTCTTAACTCCTCTCCGTTCTCGGGAAAGTTACACGGTTTAAATTCCTTTGTCTGTTCGAACTCTATAACGGTATTTTCCTTGTAATATCAAGGGATCTTGACATTCTGGATACTCACCGTACTGTTTTACAAAACGACGTGCTGAAGAGACAGTATATAATCGGATTGGCGGCAGAATTCAGAGGTGTCAAGCTTTGAATGAATGTAGCCACAGCTATGTTCGTCTGGGTCCTTGGTACGTAGCCGTAAACTTGCAGGAGATTGAACACTATGTACGGACTCCAGCATAGAATGAATACTGAAACATTGAAAGATGGAGGTGAGCAATCTGTTTATTCTTGTAACAAAAATTATCTAGGTGAGCAATTAATTTTAAACAAACAACTATTTATAATTACAGAGTCGATAGGGCTTAATTTGATATAGAAAAATGGCGTGGAAATCCGTCAAGAGTACCTCCGAGAAATAACGATTTATAATTATAGTTAGGGGAGTCAGACCTAGCAAGTCGTGATTCGATACAGAAAAATGACGTCAAAAGTATCGTGGAAATTAGGGTACGAGTGATATTTTTCAGAAGGAAGAAATTGCTATCTTTTTTACAGTAATTACTCAATATTCTTTCACTTACGTCAACCAAAGTTTGAATAACGTTTAAATACGTGACAATCGTAAAATTGTGCGAAAAAGATTGGTTACCTGGGTAACTTTTCCTGTCAGCTTCGCATAATTTCTTCCTACTACTAGTCTCGTTATCGAAAGCTCGATAAATCGCGGTTTTAAAGGCACAGCGAGAAAATTACGAACGAGGACGTTTAAGAGACGAAGATCTATCGCAATGGCTAAGACCTGTAAATTAATCTTCCCGTAATCGTAATATGTCGCGCGATCTTCACCCTCGCTGGCGTGAATATTCGGATCTGCCAGTCGAGAGAAATGAATTGCCGTCAGGTAGTTTGCCCTCAAAGTTGAAATAAGTCAAAGTAATCTTGCGCAAAGAGAAATTGCAACGAAAGAAACGGCATAACGCGATACGCGTAACTTCATTTACATCCAAAGGAGAAGCGTCCTGAGGAGAGGAGTTACGGCACGTTTCCTCAAGAGACGTTGGGAATTGCAGTTGTTCCGATTGATCACGAGCAAATACAAATCTCGCGAAAGCATCGATTAAATCGGATCACTGAAAAATCGGATAGAAACTTATCTCGAGACCTCTGTCGCGAGACGCTGTCAAGGAAGTAACCGGAAACTGTCACGAATGTCACGGATCTTGGATGTAAATTTTTAAAGAAACGTCGGAGAAGAACCGTCAGAAAGCTGAATGTTTCCCGAGAATTTAGCTCTCTTATATCTTTGGGCTTGACTTCGTTGTGTCTCCGTACAGGAATCTCTTAATTTTATTTTTCTAATGAATTTTTTTTTACCGTACCGAGTTACAGAGGTATTTCAATTTCTAGAACAATTCGTTTCAAACGTCTTCTGTTATTTTATGCGAGTTTTGAAATAGGTCAATTTTAAAATCCTCGTTAGACAATGTTCGTCATATGAACTATTCAAAAGGATCAAGTTTATTCGTTGAAATTTCTATAACTTCTGCATCAAAGTACTTGTTAGATGGTTAACTATTAATGTGTAAAACGAACGTGCATTTCTCGTTTGGCGGAAGTAATTTATTTGGCAAATGAACAGCGCTTGTTGAACAAAGTTGGAGATTAAAGCAATGCGGATTTGTTTTAATGTTAAATGTTTGGATTCCTGGATACGATTCATTTCTATCATACGATACGAATTTAACGATAAATTGCGTGACAGTTTGCTTTCGTTCCTGCTCATATTCGAGTAACATCAGTGGATTATTTGATTACAGAATACACCTACATCGATCGAAATTAAGTATATAATTCATGCACCAGTCATAATACATGCCCACTCTTTACACAAGGTTCAATTAATTGTTTTATTCTTTCGTTCCTCGTATTTATTACACGACGAGATGAATAATATTTCGTTATTTACGTCACCGTATTTATCTTGTTTAACGAAATTACAAATTTTAATGGAGAAACGTTTCAGCCCTGATTTTCATAAACGTGATTCCGCGAAATTCGGAAGCCTCGATCAATAGAACCAACAAAGCAAATGAAGTTCTAGATATACCTTATGATCATATGGCAGAATACGAGATATTCGACAAATGAAACAAGATTTACTCTTAACGATTGCTTGTCCCGGAAACGACCACAGGGATCGCTAATGGCTAATCGAAACGGGTAAATACTCGAAAGGGTTTACATGAACGAGTGCATTGTACGATGCATATCGCATTCAATGAACGCTTTTATTGTCCTTTCTCGAGTTTATCGACCTCAGACTCGAACTCATTATACACAGTGGCTCATGAAAGTATTCATGCGATCGCGTTTCAAATTTTCAACAAACGAAGTATAATTCCCGTATCACAGCCGAAACTTCTACAATGATAATCCATTGAAGTAATATATCGAAGATTAAATTTATTATGGAATTAAATAAAATGTGTATATACACAATGTGTACATACATAAATGAAACAACTATTAACGCGATGTATAAGCTCCGGGTCCAATATGATACGCTTCCACGAGTTAATGTTCAACGTAAACACGGTGATGATGATATACCAGATATTTGATAACTCGTTTTTATACGTATATCATTTCTATTGCGAAGTCACTTTGGTTACACAGTACGTATGCCACCCAAATGCTCAAAAAGATCGAAGAATGTCACGTTAAGTTTCTAAATTTTGTCAAACGCACGTTTCTCTTACTTCGAGATATCGATTCCTATCGGTTGTTTCGCAGGAAAAATGATACAGAAGGTGTATCCATTTTAATAGTTCTCCCGGTCCCGAAGCACACCGGGGAGAGTTGCGTGGACGGAGCTCGATCTCATTTGATCGGTTCCGCTGGGAACGATCTCCGTCAGCTAAAAAAGAAGAAATTTTAGCCGAGACATCGTCGAGAAACGAATCTGATTAGACCCTGCAATTCCTGCCACACGTAAACCCGTTCCCTCGAGAAACGAAGGGAAGACGATGCAGCTTTGAGCAAGAAGAGGGCTCGAAATTTCTACACAGTGTTTGACAAATACAAGCCGAGTCTTCATCTACCTTGATACTCCTGACTTAGACGCAGAGAAGATAATTCTGTACGATCCTCCGCGTTATTTGCACGTATCAGACTGTTGACTGGGGATGACGAGTTAATTCGTCACTGGAAATGGTATTCCCGAAATCGAATTTTCTTGGATCCGGATATATCTAGTTCGACATCGAAATAAATTAAAGGGAATCACTTCGAATATTTCCGTTATTGGTAAATTGACTTTTTCTACCTTTGGTAATACAATTTAATATAGAAAAATAATTTTTCATTGGCTCTTTAATAATGAAATGATTAGAGAAAATTGAGACAGTCATGTTGAACAGTTGGTGAAACGATAATGAAGTCCGCGTGTGTAAAAATATTAGGATAAACGCAGAGCTTTCTGTTTAATCGTATACTCCAGGTTTCCATTAAAGCTAAAACCTTTGGTGCAATTTATTCAATTTGCCAATTTCCTTTCCCTCTTTTCAGAAACATTTTCGAGTTCCAACCTAACTGAAACGAATTTCTCAAAAATTTTTATCTCCGTGACCATGTGAAGTTTAAATTACTAGGTTACATAATTACTGGAATAAAATCGTTTGACGTAATTTCTCTCTAATTCGCCGAAAACCGACCAACGATTTTCATTCTTATCCTCGACTAGACCAGTCCACTGGAGTGGCACTAATTTCGAAGTGCGTGATAAAATTTTAGCAATTAGCTCATACGTGCTATGAGATGGAAAAGAACGAAAATCACAATGCACGTGAACTATAATATTACCTGTGTCACGAATCACTGATATTTCCAACGGGATATACCAGGAACAAATGGTACTCGGCAGAAATATCGAGACAAGATTACGAGCACGGAAGAAAATTCAATTTTTCCCAAAAGATCCCTTTCTTCGATCTCACGGGGTACAACTATATACAACTATAATATATATTCGGTAGCGCGTATCTCTGAGCAGTAATTCGTGAGAGGAGTCGGAAAGGACGAGGCTGAGGTCGACCGCCATTTTCGCTTATCTCTTTACTACGTAGCTTTTTTACGCGGTGCAAATATAATCGCACGAAAAGGACGAGACAGGGTTGGAGAAGGGCGCTTTTACCTTTTATTGACGTCGATAAACGCAGTTTCGATCCACGGATAACTCGGCTCGTTACGAACTTGGACTACTTATGTTCGTTAAATTTTTATACCATCGCGGCGCGTGATTCGCAGAATTAACGGGTTCCTTGTCTCATGGAGGAGCTTCGAATTATTTATCTTTTGACATTTTCGACGGTAGCTTTGATACCCGCATTTATAGCACTTCTTTCCGTAAACTGGTCCGTCAAATCATAGCCTAATGCACATTTCGCGAATTAGACGTCCGCGAAGTTTGGTCAAAGTCGAAACTTTCACGTTTATCATCCTTCATGCAACGCGAATCCGTTTTGCCACATAACCACGAGAGTTTGCAATGTAAATAAGATTCGTTTAGCTTTGGCCTGTGAGAATTTCATTTGCGACCGCGATTTCGCTGCAAGTTTACACGTATTAAGGGTTAAACGCTGAAGTCTACTCACCGCACACTATAACGAGGGTCATTTTGACCGTCTTAACTTTGGCCCTAGGAATGAGTCCTCTGGAGGACGCTCAACGATCACAGCATAACAGCCCCCTATTATCAGAGTAGGGACTATAAAGAGGGTAACGCTGACCAGGCTCAGGTAGATCTTCCACTGCGTCGGACTCAGTTCTATCCAGCATTGTATCTTCCCCTGGTAAACGATCCTGCCGATTATGCTCGTAGTACGACCGATTTACCAAAACTAGGCCAACGGTGTTCGTTTAAGTGGTTCGTATAATTCATAACGAAATGGCACGGACGAAGGCGCAGCTTCGCCCGGACATTAACGTTCGGAAGAATCGACCCCTTTCCGCGTTAAAGGACGTTAAATGAAATCGAGGTTGAAGATTTCGTACCCCTTTGTACCACAAGTTGACGACTTTCTCGCTGAAAGCTGCATTCCGAATGGCTGCCTCGCGACAAAGCACAATTTTTGTATCTCATTAGCGATAAATTATGGCTTTGCCTCATGCTTCTTTATCACGACTGCTACGTTTTATTAAAAACTCGAACTGTGGATATCACGAAATTCCTCGCGGGTACCAGTGGCATAGCTAGAGCTTTTGCCATTCGAGACGGCCACTGCCTTTCGCGATAGGCCAAAAATGTTGCAAGAATTGAACCCTTAACCCCTCTTGATCCTACGTCGAGTTGGACTCGACAGCCCGTTTCATTCGATTCTTTCTAATTTTTGTAAATGAAGCACATCGCGTTCAATTTAATTTGACAAGGATGTGTCAACGTAGATACGACGTTGATTAGAAAATTATGAAAATCGTCTTGACTGTCAAAACGATTCGGACAACGTGTTTGGACTTGGACCTCAAAGGGTTAGCGATGATCTTGCAACCTGAGGCACACGAGTAGCTTCTAATTGCTTAAAATCGGGTTCCAAACTCGACTTGCTAGCATCTTGCCTTCTGTCTCGCCATATTGGTGTACCATATATCATATGTACCGTTGATACCGACGGAATGTGCTATATATTCGCGAAGAAGTTGCATTAGCAAGGACGCAGAGAGACGAAAGTCATTTCGCGACATAATTAACAAAGTGCCTTGGAGCGATCAAAATCTTCAGCCTCGACTACGGAAATTCAGATCGTCGCGTGTACTATAAATTACTCGATACCTCTACGAGCCTCTCCTCGAACAGGAAAGCGACCGGCGTGCCAAACAATGCAGACAGGCTCCAAGCAGCAACCACCAGGGCTCTGGCTCTCCACCCTGCGATTAAAGTCGAATTTCCAGGCATTAGTCGATCTCTCACGGGGCAGGGATAAGAAAGTAATCCCGCGAAAGACTCGAATGTCACGACGCTTCCAAATGACACGGAGGTAAACGAACAGATGTAGCTTCGCTGATCCGTGACTCGCGTTCGCCAAGTTTCCTCGTTTTCGCGCTCGTGAAACTTCCGCGACAGCTGCCGGGGGTAAAGAGGTAGGAAGGTGGAACGTAATCGCGATGCAATGAGAGAACTTACTCGCATCTTTTCGTTGTTCTAACCTAACGATTCCGCAGTCATTTGCGCCGTAAAGTTCTCGTGTTCGTGCGTTCCAAGGATTTTCGCGACGTTTAGAAGATTACGAAGGGGTTTCCAGATAATTGCACGCGAAATGTCGTTTCTGGGTTAATCCGGAATCTGCATGCGGAGCTGTTACAAATGGAGGAACCAAAGCGTGACAAGGGTCGCGAGGACGTCTCGATTTTGCTGGGGGGGTTCCGATCGCGTTCGTTTCGAGTTCCCGATGCATCCCCAGAGGTTTTAGTTGGTAACAATAATCCAACTAACTAACCCCCCTTCTCACCCCCAGGGGATCGAGGTATTTTTGGAAGATTTTCTGCGTGTAGAAAAAGAAGAAAAGAAGGAAAAGGGCATCTCGAGTTCGTTACTGTCGCGTCATCGACGACGTTCCGGTTGGTAGTTACCGTAGCCACGGTTGTTCTCGTTTTATTTCGCTACGGTTTTTCACCTTTCGACCCGGTGCCACGCTCCTTACGGTGTATGGCGCGTTACAGCTCGATGGAGTAAGGTAAAAATAAAACCGTTACATTACGTTAGTCCACCAGAGCCGGGATCTCTTGGCTAGCAGTAAATACAATCCAAAGGTGTCCACCGTGTTTCGCGATCGAAGGGAACAGGAACTCCGGAATCATTGTATCATCGAGGATGACATTGCATCCGATATTGCAAACTCGATTCTATATACCGAAACCAGTATGGAAGGTCCAGTTTCGTACCCTTATAATACGATACGATTGTAGATTAGGTTCAGCGAATGGATCGGTGCAATGAGTTTGTTTGTAACGTTTTTCCAATATGGAGTGAAAAGGCACGCGATGACACGATAAGGGAATATATAGTCGCACAGTCATAGATAGCAGGAAATATTCGATACGGAGTAATGTATTGGATGGAATAAATGGTGGTGGTGAGAAGAGGACGGAGTACAACCCATTTTGCACCCATTTAACAGGGAAACACGAAGACAGTCAAACTGGAAATTCTAGAGTTCTTGTTTTCGCAGTCGCTGAAAGTACGCTGCTGTTTTTGGCAAAACTAATAGTAACTTTTATTGAAGCGGAAAAGCGATTTTACAAAAGTGGTTTGCTGAGATTGTTTGTAAGTTGATAGTTGGAAGTGGGTTTCTAGTTAAAATTACTCGGGATCAGAGAGGATATAATAATTGCACTTTTCGTTATTTCGCATTTTTAGAAAAATATGATGCACGTGAAGCTTTTCACCGAGCTTCTCGTACTTTTTCAATCACGCAGCTTGTATTGTTTGGTCCGGTATAAAAATTGTCAGTTACTTTCTACTGAAAAGTTCATAGTAACGCATTGAGTCGGAAATATTGGTAACCACTGAATTGTAAAATATTGAAGTATAGAAATATAGAATATTGAATTTTATAGAAAAATCTACAAAATAAAGCGATTTCATTGATTTACTATTTTTCGTCAGATGCGTCGCATCCATTTTATTAATCAACGTGTTCTAAATTCAAGGGAATCTATGTGTTTTATTAAAAATCTAATCTCCGGAGCGTATAGTTCTTTTGACACGAAACGACATTTGTTCGATGCAGTTTTTCACATTACAAAGGATTTAAGGTAATTCCAGGTGGTACAGCGAAATATCACATCCTGCATACCTACTTATTTCCCTTATATCATTTTAATTACGGTTATATTAATTACTCGTCTAACTATTTTCAATTAATTAATATAATTACATACATATATAAATATAAT